GGTGAAAGAAGTACGGCAGGCAGTTCCAATAGTCAAGCAAGACACACACAGACAAGACAAGACTCTTGTTGTATAGAGGAAGTAACAATAGTCTAAGGTCAGTCAGAAGTAATGCAGATTAAGTTTCTAGGTTCTAGGTAGCGTAGTAGGTAGTAGGTAATTTGACTGAGGGTGATGGGCAGTACAAGTGCATTCTGCGCAGTAACCCCATTTAGCATCGAGCCATCTCTCTAACTTCCATGATCCCTGGATACCTCATGTACATCGGACGTACATATATGCAGTTACCGGCTAGGAATACACTAGGGCTACAGTGATGGAAGGGTATCGGAGGTATAAAAGCGGATCGTCCCAGAGGTGACAATGCCTATCAAACCCCTGTCGGAAATGCCTAGTACGGGCTGTTCCTTGCCCACCTGTGCCAGTGTGCCTGCGCCTGTGCGTAATACGGTAAAATAAGCGTGAGACCGACTGGGAACTGTTGGAATGAGCGGAGAGAGAGCCAAGGAGAGAGCCTGTGCCCTACACCTAGTAAATACCAGTAAATACATACCTAGGTATCCGTAGGCAGAAGGTATTCAATCTAAGGGGGCAGGGGGTAGCGTGCGGAGTTGTGGCGCTCGCTCAGCATCTTCCATAGTCGCGCTACACTGTCACTGACAGCATGTGGCAAGAACGGGAAGGGAAAAGATGATACACCAACACGATAGAAGGGGGCCAGCAAGGTGCTTGCTGTGACTAGGTAATTACAGTTGTATATAACAACGTTCTAGGTGTTTGTTAAAGTCGTTGAAGACGTTGGGACAGTTACTATCAACATGGATTTCATTCATAGCCAACCAAAGCAAACAATTCTATTTCCAGTGTTGCGGGTGTGTGATAAATCATCCCCAAAGCCCCTGCCCCTCTCGTACAGGCAGACAGGTAAGCATTTCATGGGTTAATGCTCGTTTATAAGGTTATTGAATAACGCCAACAGATCAGCATGTACCTATGCGGGTAGCCTATTACCTCCAAGGACCCAATATTGTCATAGTACAAGACAATGACAACGTAAGTTATTCAGTTACTCAGTGAGTGCATGTGATGTAATCTACGCGGTACAGAAATGCAATAGACTTTTTCAGACTTCCTTAAGCTCTCTTTCCTTGATCCCAACCCAACCTGCAGGTAACAATTTCCCAAGTTTGCCATGTATCTTATTCCCATGTGATGGCGTTTATTTCTTTAGCACTTCCCCGGATAGCCTTTGCCGTCTTTGCCTCTTTAGCACGTTCCAACAAACGTCGTTATCTACCTGGGAACCTTCCATGATTGGGCCCCACGATTCTGTATGTTCAAATTGACTACTACAAAACGAACAAACGGCCAGTTCCTTAAATATGACCTTGCCACCCGCGCATTTAATAAGGTGTGACTATGTTCTATAAGTCCTATCACGTAAGGCTGTCTAGCAGTTGCATCTGCTCGCAAGACTCACTCCCGGTCCACGACGTTGGAACCAGGCCGAAGATCCGGTGAGATCCCAATACGTATGACCGACGTCTCTGTCGAATGGCGAGCCAACCACTTGGGACAACCATGTCCCTGTCGATCAGCTCCTACATACATACGGTCTATCAATTCCTCACCAAACTAGTGTCAGTAAAAATAGGTAGGTAGTCATGAGGCTCTCGAATGCCTACGGCCCGCACTAGGTCCCGCATCGTCAAGCTGTATTCCTCGTCTATGAAATTCAGTTATCAGGAATCAAAGCAAACCCTTAATACAAAATCCTTGGGGTCTTCAGCCCTCCGCCACCAACGCGGATGAATGTGTGCTCGGTGCGAGAGATGTAACCAGACCCAATCTCGACCTTTGTCAGCCCGTCTAGGCCATCGGCAACCGGTGAAAACCATATATCCCTGTCTTCATCCATTCTGGGCACCTATGTAGGCATCTTGGAAAGCCTGAAGCAAGGCATTTCCCCGGTCATGAAAGAATTCAATCACGCTTTATTCCTTCAAACTCCACGAGATTTCACCGTGCCTCACTTCATTATATTCTACAGTCGACCGGTCTCTTTGACGTCATGCGTCAGCTCCTGCCAATGGGGTTTCGGGTCAATGGATATAGATCCTTCTCTTGGTCGCTCTCCTCGCCGCATGCTAACCTAGCTCAACTTAAGGCTATTTCGAAGCCTCACCGTATCGGTTCTTGGTTCTTCAACTAGTCTAGCTAGGTTGGTCAAGTATATGCGACGCCTCACAAGTCAGCAGATCTGACATAAGTTTATTGGGATGATCATTGGTTTACTATGGCTGCTTCACCTGTACCTCAGTCATAACCCGATGTCAACGAAACCAGTCTTTATTAGCGGCTTCTCCGCTCCTCACTCTCTAAATTGGCGCCATGGCCGGAAAGCCACGAAAATTGGACAAAATACCGTGTCTTTCCGCAGAGTAACGGGTATGATGACCTAAGCTAATAATAAAATATCACTTACCTCAAACATAGGTAACTAGTAGCTCACCATCTCTCTTGGTTGCATCAATATCGGTCATACCGTCTACTTGCCTAATACGACAACAAGGTGCGTGCACTGAGTTGTCTACCTCAATCCACCGGGCCGGCCATGTGTCCCCTTTTTTGGCAACTCAGATATGGAAGAATTCAATGCAATTTCTCCGATACTACCGACATCTAGCCGGATGATAACTAAGCGGTCTAGACTTCATTTTCTTATGCTAAACCTGTCAGATATCACGACGAGCTAATACGCTGAAGTTGACGCTATATGAATTTTATCGTCAAGTACCCCTGAGGAGAGGGATTGATTCGGGACAATGAGATGCGAACCTCTAGCTTCAAAATACTCCTATCGGCTTTCAAGATATTGCGTTCGCGGAATGGGGGTTCCGAGCATTTGTCACGACTCCGCTCTCGCCAGCATGATCATCACATAGCAATGATATATCATCGAGGAACAGGCAAAGGATATCCATGCCTTAACATGAGACTTTCAGCCGGTATTTCGAGGTTATCACGTGGGGGCTTGGGTTCCAATTATAGAGCCATTATTCAGATGTTGAGAACGCATTACATGGGCTGAGATTACCCATAATCTTCTATGCGTGCAACGAGGGATTCAATAACCCGAAGCTTGGCAGACCCCGCGTACTCGCTACCACAGTTGAATAATAGCTACTACTCCCAATTGGGCTCAATTCAGCTAATTGGAACGGCGCGCGTCTTCGAGGCACGCTTGGCATCAGCCTCGCGAAATTCAAGGGGTCCAGCCAGGGGCCAGTTGCGAGACCAGGGATCAGATCTCCGGGAAGGTAGGGGTTGAGACGGTCCCTGTATCAAGGAGCTTCGTCAGCCTTGTGCGCTAGCGCCAGGGACGTTTCTATTTCGTCTGTGTTTCTCTTCTCTCCTCCTCTTATGAGCTGATAGATCTTCGTTCGTTTCTTTCTCATTTCTCTCCGGGTTGATGCCGTGTTTCTGTCGCGACTTGGTCTAAGCTCTTTCAATTTTATCTGGACAATTATTATTTCATCACTACTAGTGAGAGTAGCAAAGTTCAAGATGTTCGCAAGCTTAACTACGAAGCTGGCGTTGAAGAAGGCTGGGTTGTCGAGTGACACCCTCGACTTCTCTTCTTCTAAATCCAGCAAATCTAAAGATGGCTCGATGCCTGGGCTCGACGATTTGGAAGAGTCTAACTCAGGATGGCCGGGCTGGATGAACACTAAGAAACTTCCTCTTACCGCACAAGCTTGGTTATCGCCAGTCCCACCACCGGTTCCCGTGGCAGAATGCCCGAAGCCAGGCGATCTAGCCCCCCTAGACCGAGATCGTCAGCTCACATTCGGCGGCGGAAGGCCGATTATCGTTCTCTTTCTACGCTGCGTCGGATGCGCCTGTAAGGCTTTCTATTATAATCGCAATGTCTTCTACCACGGTACACTAACCATATCACTACCATAGTCGCACAAAAGTCATTCCTGGCCCTAAGAGAACTCGCCGTCAAGACCCAAGGCAAATTGACATGCATCGCCGTATCGCATTCTTCGAGGGAGGCGACGCGGAAATGGGTAGACTTACTAGGCGGTGCGTGGAACGTCGAGATAGTCATCGACGAGGACAGGGCTGTGTACGCCGCGTGGGGGTTGGGGCTTGGTAGCGTATGGTACATGTTCAACCCCACGACGCAGATTCAGGGCTGGAAGGAGAAGAGCTGGATGGGTATCAAGGTGGCGAATTCTATACAGCGGACAGGCAGCCTCACCCAAGGCGCCGCAGTCGGTGGTGCTACCACGGCCAAAGCGGCAGGCGTGGGGGCGGCACCAGCCTCCGGCGCGACCGAGGGCCCGTCCACCGTCATGGGGAATAAGTGGCAGCAGGCTGGCCTGTTCGCCGTGGATGGGCGGGGGACGGTGCTATGGGCCGCCAAGGCTCTGCGCGCGGACGACGTTATGGATTTAGATGCAGCGGCGGCGGCAATTGGTTTTTGATACCCTATCAGAAGATGGCGTAGCGTATAAGTGACGAATAAATGAATGTGTTACGATCTGTATACTGCCAATACATTTCATAGAGTGTAAGGATTAAGGTATTGTCTTCATCACAAGGGAGCCCTGGAAGTTATTAACAATATGTTCTCTTCATCTTATTTGCTTAAGCATTTGAACAAACTTGTCCGTTCCAAAGTGAAGCTTAAAAAGAGTGACTGTTTAATCTACCTTTCCAACCCTTATTGAGTTGGTGACACAGTCAGTAAAGCGCAACCAACGGGATGAGGGAGGTCACATTAGGTTGTCTAAGGGTTATCTGGCTACCCAGATACCTACCTACCTACCTAGGTAGGCAGAACACGCAGTAATTAAAGTGTTGTTTGTCACTATACAAGACGGCCACAACCCAAAGGCCTGGTATATCCTGTACTACCCACAATCTATACCATACCCGCACTATCGCCGTATAACAATAACTGTACAGTCTATGCCTATGCCTTGATAGCCAGTGTAGCTCAATAGGTTTAGAGCATGAGACCAAGCGTTCCATGGTAGTTGGTTTGAATTCGACCGCCGGCTCATATTTCCATTTTCCCCCTTTCCTCCTCTTGCGCCCTTCTCCTTTTGATTATCTTTATAGGCTAGCTACGATCTTTAAATGTGAAAGATCCGCACTAGACATGCGCCTCGATTTACTTTCGAGCCATACTCTTAATCATGCAAATGTCTTCCACTCAGCATATAATGAAGGGGATGATCAAAATGAATGTGAGGTAGTATTCATTGCAGGTCGGCCTGGCCAGAGCTGCACGATTCTAAAAGAAATCGCAAATAAGTTTTCACGACATTCAATCAACCAACCAAATGGGATATATATTAAAATTGACCTCGTCTATACTAGTCTATCCACCATGAATCCCGAATGATAGTGCCTTAGAGAAGTGGCTCAACTCATTCCCTTTAGGCTTGAAAACTTGGGAGAGGTCGGGGGTTCGATTCCCTCAGGCACCCCTTTTTACTTGCCTTTTCAAAAGTGTGGTCCTTTTCTTTCCCGTTCCTTCTATGTATGAGTATTGTGATACATTATAAAAAGTGAAGAATCCCAGTACTTTTTTCGTCGTCTTCGTAAGTGTTTCTATTTCAAGCGTCATTTCCCCGGGTGTATACAGACATGGCCCCTTCATTCTGTAAAATCTTCCTAAGTAGTCCTATGCTGTTAATAAAGACATAGTAAATTTGGCAAGATAAAAATATCTGCAATACCCTGTTGAAAACTTCGTAAGCCGAAGGATTATCGGCCAAGAAAGAGGGAATTATAACAACAACCAGAATATACTATAACAATCCAGTCAAAACAAAGGCCTTTGCGTTTCATATGGCAAGTGGACTCTATCAGCTGAAGACAATTACTAAGCCGCAAACCAAGTTTCCCATTATGTTCTATCAAGGTTGTCAATACGATCTACGTTTCTAGGTTGGGTGATAGCTCTCTTAAACATTTAGCCACCTTTGCCTAGAAATATCTATTCAATAAAACACAACAGTTTAGCAATAGTGTGAAGTATCTATATACAATCAATAGCCGGATTGTGCAGGTGTTCACTTATATAACGGGAATTCGGCATCCTCGAGGAGAAAAGTATGCCCACCCACTCAGCCACGCTTCGAATCCTCCGCTTCGTATGGGCACGAGCCTACACCATGCAAATAAGCAAGATACGGCGATCTATTTATGGATGGTCCCAGTGGGATCTATAGGATTGGAACAATCCAAGGCCTTCGAAGGCTAACAGTTGTGAATAAGTATTGTCGAATGCCCACGCGGATGCCTATATGCATGAGTAGGGGAGTCTAGTTTGATTTATCGCAGCATCGACCTATGCGCATCGAAAAAAATGAAAATAAGCCCATGTATGAAACCAAGAGAACTAAAAAAGGTCTAAGTTCAAAATGACATACGAGTGCCTTTCGATCTTCAGGGTTATGGTATACGTTTGAAATAGAAGTCCAAAAGGCGTTTTAGGCACACTTATCACTTTACAAGACTTCCCTCTAATGATTGTTTATTGCATTGCCAACCATCAGCGCCTATAGAATAACCCCCCTTTTATTTCGAAATTATATTATACAATATCTCACTATACTAGCGATATGTGTGTTCCATTAACATGGAAATCCCATCAACACCCCTATCTACGCGATCTGGCACCGCCCCTTCTTCGTTCCGCCTCTCGCCTTCTCTCCACTTCGAGGTATTGGCGAGCGACGCGACACGGAGCGCACTCAAGCACTCGGTTGGCGATAGGAGCTGTGGTTACCATACTGCCGCAGGCCCCTGGCCACGCTCTTAGGGCGATCGCTCTCCGACACATCACTTCCACCGGCTCTATCCGCGTGTGGTTGTCGTAGAAAGACCTGCAAGTCGGGCACCAGTCTTTCTTAGGTATTCTTTGGCACATGGTTGATGTTGCGTTGTCTTGCGTTGCCTTGAAGTCGAGGTGTAGCACTACTTTGTGTCCAAGTATGAAGAAGGCTAAGAGGCCGATAATGCCGGCGGCGGCAACGACGATGACTACTCTGAGAATGAACGTGCAGGCGATATGCTTGCAACCCAAAAAAGAGAATAAATGATTGATATGGCCAAGTTATTTGCACGGATATGTTTGGCCTGCGGTTGATAGAGTGGGCAGAGAAGGACACCAAATCTAGGGGCTACTGCTTATTTTAAGAAAAACGGAAGGAGGTCTTCAAGGCTCAAATATACATACCTACTCAGATGTGTAGAAGTATCAGCAGTGACTAGGAAAAGGAGCATTGTCTGTGATAAACATGATACTGGCCTCACTGTAGTCACGAGATGTTATAACAATAGCAGAGAATGCTATCCCTCTCCCAGACCTACTAGATAAGGTACTAAAACTTCCAAGTGTCACTTACTCCTCGATGGGCGAATTCGATAGAGGAAGAAACCAAGGCTTGCCGAAAGAGAAAGTCCAATGCTATAAAGGTGAATGAATCACTAGCAATAGCCCCTGACTGAAGAAACCCTTGAGTGAACTAGCTGTCACGTTCAGTCATGGCAATTCAACTCAATATCAATTATCACCTAGTCACATCTAACACTCTTCTACCAAGTCTAGGTCCGGTCAATGACTAATCGATGCTTGAGATTATCTCGCCACCTAAATCCCCCTATCATCTGACATATGCCGCTACTTTCACTGGAACGATAGGGAGCTACTAGATCAGCAACAGGAAACCTGCAAAGCCGACAGTGCGATGCCACCGAAAAAATAATTTACCAGTCCATTTTGCCAGTTATGATAACCTCGAACCGATGTGCCAAACTCCCTCATGCGGAACGCGGTAAAACGCAAAATGTCCTCCCCCTAATGCTCGGGTACGTACACACGTGGAATGAAGAGAAGAAGCAGCAAAAAAAAAGTCGACCTCTACATACTTTGACACCTTCCTTTCCCCCCCCTTTCTTTCATTACCGGCCCTTTTGTGACGTGAAAAAAAAAACAAAAATCAATGACCAACACCGCCATGCCACTGACAAGAAAACACCCCTCCCCTCCTGTATGTAGTATTTGCAAAAAAGACGAAATGATTCCTTCCTGGCCCTATGGGGTGATGATTATGTAACGGGATGCCTTCCAGACCACAAAAACGCAACTCCGAGGGAGACAATATTTCTTCGGATTCGTCGATTCCTGACCTTTCCAAGCACTTCCCGCCATGTTTTGCATTAAAAAACACTCGTGCCTACTACACACGCACGTACGCACACAACCAATACCGAATGAGAAAACCGCAACAAGTAACCGCAAACACGAACCGCCACTATGCCCTTAGCCTTTCCTTTGCCATACCTGATCCATAGAATTTCCGTTTTGCTTTGTTTCCTGTTTCCTCCGGCCAAACCACCTTTGCAGGTACTACTAACGAATCATCTAACGTGAGACGTTGTACAAGACTCTGAACAAACGCATGTTCTCGAGAATTTCGGCTTTCGTCCGGTCCGAGGATCCAGTATGCCTTATATATGATGAGGGTTCTTTCCGAGGGTGCTGAGTACGAGAATATCCATATCCATCGCAATGCTCGAGTCGAAATCAAGGTATCGTGTCCGAAAAAAAACCAGAACGTAGAGAAACTCCGAACGAGAGAAATGTTTTCCACCTTACCAGTTTCTTTGTTTCCGTGTCGTCAAAGGCCTGAACACCCATGCTGATGCTGGATATATGTTTCCCTCGCCCCTAGAAACCAACCAACCTGAACACCGATTTTTGCTTTTTTCCTAATTCATAACAGTCTGCTGCTGCTGTTTTGCGGGTACAATGAATATCAAACGAATGGGTCGTCGTCTTCTTCGTTGAGTCCACGGAGCCGTTGGTCCGACTAACCCCAAACGCTTGCTTGAACTCCCAAGTTTGACTTGTTTCCCCAGACGCCCGAGCGGTTGGCCCATCCATTGTATCCATCCGCCGCAGCGCTAGGCGGATTGGAGGGAGCACCTGAAGTCGACACACCTTGGTTGTTGTCATCGCCGTTTCCCGAGGCCGAGAAGCCGTGACTCAAAGGAGAAGGTAGAGGCGTGGTCGATCGCTTGTTCAGGGCGGGGTTTTGCGCCTGCGAGTTTGCCGAAGGACGCGTACCAATAGGGGCTACTGCATTACCCGACTGAGTTGACTTGGGGCCTCCAGCTCGAGGAGGGGAGCCACCAGTTGGGGATGAGTTACTGGTGCGAGTGTTGCTCTCGAAGATGCCCATGTTGGCGGGCGGGTTCGACTGAGGACTAGCATTGCTGTTAGCACGAGACAGACCCTGTCCCTCTGCGGGCTGCGGTGCGCCTTCGGGGACGTTGGGGGCGTTCTGTCGTCCGTAGTCGTAGGTGAGAGGAGAAGGGCCACGATGACCGGTAGGCAACGCAGACAAGCCAGGCACACCGGGTCGATTCGCAGCCGGCTCCTCGGGGAAGTTGCCTTCGCCGCTATACAGAAGAGTACGCTGACGGTTGATCATGTCACGGCGGTCATCCTCGGACATGCTACCGGGACTCAGAGCGCGGTCGGACTTGCTGCTGCTGCTGTAGGATATATCAGCAAGAACATCTACAGAAACAGGAGTTAGCGTGTCTTCACTCCAATATGACGAAACATGTCGAAATGGGGTTCACGAAAGGTGGCATGATAGAAATATCGCATATGAAATATCAGGAGATATCAGAGGAGATATCAGAGGAGGCATGGCATGGAACACGCATGGACTCCGCCGAGTGAATTTTTGGTTTGTTTTGTTTTGTTTTCTTTTGATTTGCGGTCTTGTGCTATACAGAAGAGGGTGGCCTACTTCGGTTATATTGCTGTTCTTGATGATAGTTGCGAAGCTCACGCTCTCGCTGGGCCGCCATCTTTCGCTTCGCCGCCACAACCGGGTCCGGCTCGTTGAAACCGCCACGTGAGGGTTGGTGTCGCTGCGAGGCATAATAGGTCTGCAGGTTGGGACCAGGACCCGAGTGACCGGTGCGCGGATCGTTGTTGAACTCCAGGGAGTGCTGTCGGGGCCCATGTCCAGATGCAGCTCGACCGTCTACATGCCAATTAGTCCCCATCATTCCTTTTGAGCGCATGTCCCTTCTCCAACCCCCAGAGCGCATATTCGATGCGCTTTGTGTCATTTTCGAAATTTGGTAGGGATGAACTCACGTCGACCTGGCGGACCGTATAGCTTTCCGCTCTTGACCAGGTTGTCGATAGCCCTCTCTACCTCTGTTGAACATGTTAGATCTAGAACGTAGTAAATGGTGTGGATGACCGGACGAGAAGGATGGATTTCGAGGCGCAATATTCGTATTAACAGAAGTAAATTGTCGGCGGAGAATGAATCGATCGTGCGACACTCCGAAACATGCGCCCCTTCAACCATCTTCTCTCGTAGGTACTTGGTTGGTGTTCGGGAAACATACCTTCAAATTGATGCACAAAAGCGGCGGCTTCGATTTCGCG